TGGTCATAGTTGCTTCAGGGACATCAGCTGACCCTCCTAGGGCCACTAGATCTTCTTCACAGAAAACAAGTGTGGAGGAAGAGGAGGAAGAAGAGGCAGATTTAGAAAAGACGGAAGAGGACGGGGACGATCAATATGTTGAGGAGGGTGACGACTCCGATGAATATGATGCCAATGCGGCTGACCCAAAATTTTCTGATGCTGAATGAAAGATGAATGCTGAATAATTATTACACTTTGAACTTTGATTGAAGTATTGAACTATTGAAGATTCGTTTGAGTCTTCAAGTATTACTTTCATAGTTTCATAATTCAATTTTGTTTTCTTCCTCATGGTGGTGTACTGCAGTACTGGTTTGATACTATTTGGTAAATTGGTTTGATAATTTGGTTGGTTGGTAAATTTTAAGTTTTAGTTGGATATGGAATATGAATCGACTTATGGATTATGGTTATACTTATGGAGTGTGTGCTAAATGCTAATATGTAGTATAATTTGAATTAGGATGTGCCCTAAATACCTAATTTTTATTTTTTATACAATATATATAACTGACATAACTGCATAATCCTTTTTGGATTCAACTGGGCTGCCTAAGTTCTGGGCGCCCGCCTGGGCACTGGGCTGCCTGGACCTCCCGGGCCGCCTAGGACCTGCCTAGCGCTTTTTGAAACACTGAGTGTATTTGTTCCTGAAACTGCTCCAAAATCTTGGGGCTCATCATAAAGTTCGTTTGGGAGAAGGCTTACGGCCACGTTGGTTGGGCCGTCCTGGACGAAACCCTTCTTAGGAGGGGTTTTGGCAACCAATGTAGAACTTGGATTTGCAGCTGCATTTGCAACCCTTTCTTCTCCATTCATATTAATGGCTCACCTAAAGGTTTTTTTCCCTTCGTCCAGGGGCCTTTGGCAAGGAGACCCCCTGTCCCCCTTTCTCTTTGCCATCATAGCTGAGGTCTTCAATAGATCCAATGCTAGATTGTACCAACATAGGCTACATGGCATGCTAGAGGGCTTCAAAATTGGTAGTACTAGTCGTTAAAGATTTGGATAGTAGTAGATTCTGCTATAGTAGAATTTGTTATTCCTATGAACCCTAAGAAGTAGAAGATTTCCCCTTCAGGGCTGCCAAGCTGCCTCCATACCCTGAGGGGCCTCAGTTACCAAGGGAGCACCCATCTGCGTTTAGCTTGAAGCTACCTTGGGGTTGAGGGGTCTAAAGGGGCCTCAGTTTGAGAGATCTAGGGGCTAACATACAATGTTGTGCCAATTTCTCCTAAGGTCCTCAGCACTTAGACTTTTAAGTTGTGGGAGACACTTTGCCCATGAGATGGTGTCGGCTGTAATTTGCTCAAAGATGGCTTGGGGCAGTTGGCGTACCTCTCAGAGGGTTCCAGCGTTCCTCTCCTTCCAGAAACCCCAAAGCAGTTTGAAGACTGAGGCAGACCACAAAGAGTGGCTGACCTTGGGGAAAGGAGGGGAGATCCATGCAGTCTGAGTTGCCTTACAGACTGTGGGGTGATCCAATGAGTCTGAAGAACTGAAAAAGGCAAGACCGAAGACTCCTGGCAACTTCACAGTGGAGGAAAAGGTGGTCAATATTTTCTTCCTCTTGGAGGTACATGCATCAGCGACTTGGGAGGTGTAAGCCTCTCCTTTGAAATTGGTCAGCAGGTAGCACCCGGCAGTGGGTTAGGGTTTATGAGAAGGCTTGGGCCTTGTGCGGCACCAGACGGGACCAAATTTTGGAGAAGAGGGAAACTTGGGGAGGGGCCTGCAGGAGAGAATATTGTAGAATGAACCTATCGTGAAGGTTCCAGATGGAGTAGAGGTCAACACCACTTGATCCCTCCCTTCTAGGGCCATAGATGCTAGCAGGAAAGAAACAGGTGCTGAAGTGCTTCGCTTTCGGCGTCCGTGAGGCTCTGTCCAAAAGCAGAGCACCAGACCAAGTTTGCCAGCCCTGGTTTGCTACCAAGTCCTCAATGGAGGCATCTTCATTGGTAGCAATGGCTCGGAGCTGAGGGCACCTGCTACCTAAGTCGATATCTCCCCCCCAACAGTGTTTCCAGAACTCGACTTTGTTGCCCTCGCGAGTTAAGAACTTATTGAAGAATCAAATCTGAAAGCTTGGCTACACTTAGCAATATGAGTCCAAGTTTTGGAATATCTGTGAGGGGGGGCATTTTGGGGAACCATCTAACTTCGTCGATACCATATTTATCTGCTATGACCTCTCTCCATAGCTAGGACTCTTTGGTAGCTTTGGGGCTGCACGCTTTTTCCCACGCAAGGAGGTAGAACTTATTGTTGCCCTCTGCCCCAGACCACAGGAAATTTCTCATGAGGCTTTCTACCTCAAATACTACTGAGGCTGGCATCTGAAATAAAGACATGCTACGGATTTGGATGTTTGCAGAGTTGTTTTTATCAAAGTGATCCTGCCTCCTAATGCAAGGTATTGACCTTTTTGGTTTGCGAGTACTTGCTGAAAGTTTTCTACGATTGGGTCCCAAATGCGTTTTGGGCAATCCCCACATGAAGTAGTACACTGAGATAAGAAGAGGGGAGGTACTTTGTAGCGCAGCCAAAATGTTGAGCCAATGCACTGACCTTGTCTTGGTCTGTACGGACCTCTAGCATCTTGATTATGGACATGTTAACCTTCATATTTGTGGCAATTATAAAAAAAAAACCTTCATATTTGTGGCTATTTTGAGCTTCTGAGGAACAACCACAGGTTTGTATATTTGTGTGGGGCATGCTTTACAAAAGATCAGTGTCATCTGCGTAGAGTAAGTGGGAGATTGTGGGAGCAGCTCTTGAGATCTGGAAGCTACTGAGGATGCCTCGGTTGAATAGTCTGGAATGGATTGGGAGAAAAATTCTCCCATTATTGAGAACAAGTGTTGCAGGCCCCTTGTAGCTTGAAATATCCTTCAGGTAACCCATTGATGAGAGCTGAGAAGATGGGGCTGGAACCACGTATCCAGCTTCTCCATTTGTTACATAACCCCATTCTTGACTATATCTCCTCTAAGACCGACCAGTAGACGTGGTCCTAGGTCTTTTCCGAATCTAGTTTAGAACTACCGCTTTCCTGCTTGAGAGGTGTCTGGAGTCGTGGGTCTTGTGAGCCAGGAGGGCCCTGTCCAAAATTTGTCTATCTGCCACGAAAGCCAATTGGGACTTAGAGATGGTTGTGCCTAACAAAGGCTTAAGTCTGGTGGCTGGCACTTCTGTGAGGATTTTATAGGATGATTCCAAAAGGCTGATGGAAGGGAAATCTCTCATCTTCACCGCATCTTCTACTTTAGGACTAGAGCAAGGAAGGTGGAGTTCAAGCCTTTTATGTAGTCGTCCTCTATGATAAAATTCATAAAAGAAGGCCAAAAGGTCAAGGGCCAAGACATCCTAGAAGTAGTTAAAAATGACTATGAGGAACCCTTTGGTCCCGGGGCCTTGTGTTCAGTGCCTTGTCTTCGGCAAGATCTGATATGGCCTGTTTGATTTTGCTCTCTTGTAAGGGATGCTCCAACAAGGCAGCATCTGATTGCGATAGAGTGTTGAAGGAGATGTCAGCCATTCTGCAAGTTGCACCCTGAGGGCAGGAGAAAAGATATCAAAAGTAATAGATGATGGTCATGTTGACATGTTGGGGATTGGTAAAGACCCTATCACCAACTAAGATATGGGTGATGGCATTGTTCCTTCTTCTGGAGCTTGCAGACTGGCAGAAAAAGGACGTATTTCTATCTCCGTGTCTGAGCCAGCTGACTCTAGACCTCTGGTACCTGTAGTCTTCTTCGTGTTTCAGAGCTAGTGAGATATTGGTTCACGCCTTGAGCCATTGCGGCCGTTTGAATTCTGACAAAGGCCTGGATTCCTTTAGGGTGTCCAATTTAGAATCAAAGGTTTGCGGTTGTTAGGGCGAGACTTTCTCCAGAGTTTGAGAGAGGATTTAAGGAATTGCAACTTTTTTGTGAGGTGGAAACCTGCCTAACCAAAGAGAGTAAAAGAAGACCGCCATTGGCGAAAGTTTTGTGCAACATCTGATTCCTCCATCCACTGAAGCTTGAACCTAAAAGGTTTGTAGGGTCTTGGGAGAGGGTCAGTATCTAGGGGGATGGGCTTGTGGTCCAACGTGGTTTTGGGGAGGGCACAGGAGAAAGAACCAGGGAAAATAGATACCCACACATTTGGTAATAAGAAGAAATCAAGTTTGGTTAGGAGAGGGTCTCCTGCGTGGTTAGACCAAGTGTAAGAGCAGCCTTCTAGAGGAATATCGAGGACAGAGTTTCTCCCAGTCAAGTTTGAGAAAGCTCTCATGCACAGAGGTGACCCCCTTCCTCTGTTTCTCTCATGGGTCCACCATATTACATTGAAATCTCTTCCCAGGAGCTAGGGGACTCACTGATTGGGGGATTCCAATTGAAGATCCGGCCAGAAGTCCTGCCTGAGGATCGAGAAGTTTTGGCCATAAACAAAGGAAGCCTTCCGCAGGAGGCCTCCAGAGGATCTGGAGGAAGTTAGAAACAGCCTAACAAAGAGGAGAATAACTGATGAAGAGTAGGTTCCCAAATGACCCAGATGCTCCTACCACCTCTTTGCCCTCCCATTGGCAAGGTCTCCTGCCCCAAATTTCCCTAACCTCCATGATAAGTTACTAAAAAACTCACAGCTAAATGATGTATTCTATATCTAGGAAGTTCTGAGCTGCTCTAGTGCTGTTGCTTGAGATGCTGATAGGCCTGAAACATTCCAATAAGTCAAGGTAGATATGTAGAGGCCAAACAACTAAGTAAGAAGAGGTTCAGTTTCTAACATGCATTTTTATGTTAACAAAACAACGGTTTTTACAAAGTTTGAGACCTGTATTCTACACTGATATTTTCCTTAATTTATGAGAGATGAATTCTTTTGCATTCTATTTATTAATCTCTAATAGTTGGTGTGCCTTCGAGGTGTTGATGATTGTTGTTTTTTCCGTGCTTCACCAGTGAGGTGATTTTAACTTTGGGTCGTTCTAGAACAGTGAGGCAATTCCTATGTGAGGCAAAGAAAAAACGTTCCTTTCAGGTTTTTGTTGCTGAGGGTGCTCCTAGGTTTGTATGTCAACATTGAATTTCTTAGATTTCTACTGAGTAAGTTACTTTATTTGGTATTTCTCCTCATGATAAAAGTTTGTCCGGTTTCTTTCTTGAACAATACAATTGCTTAGATATCAAGGACATGTCCTTGCCAAGGAGCTGGTAGCGAAAGATCTGCAGACCACAGTCATTACAGATTCAGCAGTTTTTGCTATGATTTCTCGAGTGAATATGGTAAGTATACGTCAGAGTATTCAAATAAAATGATCATCGTTGTGTCTGTTTTTAACTTGGAATCCTTCACGTGAAGGTGATAGTAGGCGCTCATGCAATAATGGCTAATGGAGGAATCATTGCTCCTGTGGGGTTGAATATGGTTGCACTTGCTGCTAAAAGGCATGCTGTACCATTTGTTGTAGTGGCGGGCAGTCACAAGGTATGTTCGCATCTACTTTTGTATCTCTTTCAGTGAATGATTGAATCTTGGAATTGTTGTTTCTTTCTTGTATGCTGAGCAAAGAAGTGGCTTGACTATCATCATTTCTGCAGAGGATTAAGTTTTAATTTCTCTATAATCTGCTTCTACCATTTTACCCAATTTATGCTGGATATGGATAAGAGACATGATACATAGGACTTTATGAATTGTTATGGACTGGAGAAAACTGCATGGAATAAGCACTAGACGGTGTCTATTTATGATACACAGAGAAGTAAACTCTGCTGAAAATTTTGTATGTGTGAACTTGAAAGGTGTTCTGAAAATTTTAGCTTTTTGAGTCTCATAAAGGATTTTATGATATATACTAGTCATGACATTGTGCACCCCATTTATTTATTGTGATACATCTGTCTGTGATATTGTGTGATATATCCCACAGTAATATGACACAAAGCTATTTTCAACATAGTTGAATAAGAAAGAAGCTATAGATGTATGCCTTTTTCCTCTTTCATTGTATGAAGCTGTATTTCTATGGTCTTTCAATAGTTTGGATTTCCCACTTTGGCAGCCTGATATGCGTGTGTCTCTGGCTTGCCCAAAACTACCTGATTAAGTTTATGACCTCTAACCTCCACTCAATCCTCCTCAGCAACCTGTGATGCAAAGAAAACAAATCGGTTTTAAGGTGCATTTGCTGCTAATTGTTTGGTTGTAAGTTGGACTCGCTTCTAAGAAACTACCTTCAATTCCCTTTGTGTATTTGGAAGAGGGGCCAGTGGTATTATAAGTTGAATGTGACCTCTAGCAGTATTCCCATCCATTACTGTTATTCTTTTGGATTCCTGCAGGAGCGGTTGAAAGATTAGAAATGTCCTAAGGCATTTCAAGGGAACAATACAGAGAAGTTTCATGTGATGAATTGGAATCAAGTGTGTTATCCAAAGGAAATCAGCAAATTGGAGATATCTCAAATTCCCTTGTCACTTAAATTCATTTTAAGGAAATAACATTCCCCTTCTTTCTATTAGCATGAGCCATTTGTGAGTTGAAGCAGTGGTTTAAAAAACGGATCGGTGACCCGGATCGGGCATCTCAAAACCGATCCGGATCAGTGAATTGGCTATCCGGATCGGGAATCAGGCAGAATCGCTCGGATTAAGCCTTAAAAAAATTCAAAAAAATTATTAAAATTCATTATAAATGTTGTTTTTTAAGAATCCAATAAGAAATGGGGGTACTACATTATTAACTTTCATTGTTTTCATCAATTTATGAATATTGAGATGTTCTTTCCCTGTATGAACTTATGTTGACTATTAAATTTACATCACACAAAATAAATCATAGAATTAT